AGGACAGATAATAATCAAAAACCATGTCTAGTGTTTAAAATCATTTTTACAAGCATGTGTCAAAATTATGCAACAAAGTATATTTAAGTATATTATAAGAACTATTTTTGTAATTAAATAAAAATGTTTATGTATTTGAATATATACTTTTAGCCTATTTTTTTAGCCTATTTAAAGATTTTGATATTTTATGTGACCTTTGAACAAAAAAGTTTTTAGGCTCCTGAACTAACCGAAAAATAACTTTTTCAATCAGGATATAAGGGAAACTCAATAAATTCAAATTTGTTTGAGTACTTGCTAGAAAAAAGTGTAAATACAGAAACATACAAATAACATCATATTGTTAACTATATATTCTTTGCTTCACTATTTATGACTAGTATATTAGATACACACATTTATATTACAGCTATATATTATGACAACAATTTTATATTATTATTAAATATTACTACGGTGTTGTTTGTAGGATATGAATGCTATGATAATATAATTAAAATTAATTGTCAATCAGCCAATTATTATTAATTCAAATAAATCAATAATTTTTTGGGGTTCATATAAAAATAATAAACACATGACTCGTATAATATATCAAAGAAATATTATATGTACATACTCGGCTACTCTACATAGTATTTACTTATGAGTATTATGCAACTAAATGCTTTAACAAACGATTTTATTTTTTATAGTGAACATAAAATTTTAATTTTTATGTCTTATAACAATTTTTAACACAAAAAAAGTTAAGTGTAGTAACTATTATGTAATATTAATGATTTTTTTTTTATCAGTCTATTGAGTTGACGTAACAAAATATAAAAATACTTAACAGCTAAAAAAAAATTCATACCAGAACTAAATTATTTCTATAATTKCCATGCTATTATATTTTATATATAGAACCATCAAATTAAGGAAAAATTATATTTTTGATCATAATCAAGTATAATATTTTATATAACATTTAGGTATACATATAATTAATATACAGACGTCACATGAGAATAAGAAAAAACTTTCCTTGTAAACTTTCAACTTAAATTTGTTAAATTACCTGTGTTGACTCAAATGTATTGCTAGACGTTATAAGAACCATTATGAACGATTTTTAATTTTTCTGAGTGAAATTACTGAGCCATAACTTATAAGAGTTAATTGCTAAAATATTATCACAATGTACTATATGTATACAATAGTGTTCATAACATTGAATATTTTAATACAACTGCAGAAATATTGAATTAATCTTCTTTATTTGTCAGATTGTCATGATAGAGTAAGCAAATCAATTGTTATAGATATGATAAAAAAAAGTAAAAATATAATAAATTGCTAAATATATTTATTAGTAGTAGCCTAATAAACTATGAATTAAATGTTCTAACTTTCATAACATAGTCCATATTTTACATTAAAATAACGGTAGTAGTTAATATAGTCACGCTAGATAGTTCAAAAATTATTAATTTTTAAAAATAAATTACATTTAAAAAGCCGTGTAGTATGAAATTAACGACAATGTCGTAAACATAAACTTATATTATACTTGTAAGACTGAAGAAAATTAGCAYCTAAAAACGTATAGTTTAGATGAAAAACGAACGAAACTAAGTTAGAAGATTGGAACGACAGCAAGACATATCGTGGGGTATAACTACTATAATTGATAATTACCAATCAATCACTTAGAAGTGTAAGTAGGGTAGAAAAAGAACGTTCGTGGTAAGATCGATAAGGCGAGGAGAGTACACAGCTCGACTTATGAAATCCGAAAAAGTCATTTTATCGATAGAATATTACCAATTTACCTAATATATTGTACATATTAAAACATAAAGTAACGGTCTAAAATTATGAATAAAATCATTGAAAACACGAATCGAGAATTAACACGTACCTTTTTGCAAGTGTATGTATAGTAGGTAGGTAGGTACACTTCGGTTGCCGTACCGGAAATGCTTCCGCTAGAATCGTCGTGTCCGCTGTGTCTCAGGGACTGCGGTAGTGTTGCGGTCTCGGCGCAAAGGAAAGCCGGATCATGCAGGATCCACCGGACGGTCACGCAGTGGGACCAACGATCGCGGCGCTGTATTTCCCAAGTCGGCGGCCTACCAGTGTTGTAGCCAGCGTATTAAATGACTTGCCGGGACGAGGGTCTCGCTTCGATCGCAAACACGCGCAGGAACCGCTGCACCGCGGGCGCATCGGCGTTTGAATGTAGAAGTGGGTGCGGATGTTCGTTGGGGGGGGGGAGGGTGCATTTTTCTAGGCCAATCGAACTGATGCCCCCCTCACCCCCTAGAGACAGCTTTAAATGTATGTATATAGGGACGCCGTCAGCGCTACGGGCTTCACATAATAATATTATATAATGTATATATGTATGTATAGATAAATGTATACCTATACCAAAGTCTATAAACGTACAGCCACATATAATATAAAATATGACATCGTGTTAAAAAAAAAAGGTTTTTATTTTTCATTTTGTCTAAAGATCCTCTATGTTTATGCAAAAATTGTTGTATGCCTTACTTCAATAAATTCCATAGATATAGTATATAATATATACTATTTTATTTTATATTATATATATTATATATATATAGTTCGTTCAATCATAGTTCAAGACATATTTGAAAGCTGCAGTCAATTTTTGCTTTCAAAACGTTTGTGATCGAGTGATCGTGAAAATCTAAGAATGACATTGACATTTAAAATGGAGTATATTTTCAAGTATAATATWACAATAATTTTTATAATGAAAATTGAAGATATAACCAATTTCCAACATTTCACCGATTTGTTAATATATACCAAATTAAAATCTTAAAAAATAACACTATATAGTAAAATAATAACATTTAAATCACATAGAATATAACTATTTACTATATATTATGAACATTGATTTGAATATTAGTATGAAATAGGCAGTCAGGCAGATACCTACTATATATTTCAGTTGCAAATTGTCAAACTGTAGTACTGTACAACAACTTAAGAATAATGTATTTATATTTTTAATTTTTTTGAACAATTATTGATTTACCGTCTAATATAAACGTGTACGCTTTTTTAGTCGTAAAATTACAATAGTAAAGTAGGTATAAGGAGTATTTAAAATGTGGAATTTGTTAAAATGATTATAAAAATTTAGGTATTTTAAAACAAACTTACTCCAAGTGTTTGCCAAAATGTATCTATATAAAAATTTTAAGAGAATAATTTTAAAATTGTCTGAACAATATTGGTACTTAGTCTACAAGTCTTTAACTGGTATAATTAATGAGAATAAGTAATTACGAAGTATACCTTTTTCACTAGTTAAGTACTAACTATACTAATACAAATAAACATAAAAATTAAATGATGACAAACCGTTTTACGTTCACACGAAAACTTAAATTACACTGGAAAATATAGAATACATTTACCTAGTTAATTTACAATTCAAGCAAAGTATCCTTAAATTAATGTAGATTCTATAAAATAATTTTATGACTTATTATGAGTTATAGGGAGTWTGGTCTATACCTCGTAATATACTCGTAATTTAGTACAATAAAATAAGTAACAACACACGTCATGTTTGAAGTAAAACAGAATATTTTTAATAATTTAACTGTCATAATGAAATATGCCAATATTTTATATGAAGTTTTTACCAATATTTCTAAGTCAAAATAAAGCAATATAACATTTAATTTAAAATATCACAAATTTAAATCATTTTTAGTTCTGAGTGGAACGATGAATGGATTGATTTTACATTGATGTGTGTTTTTTATCATCTGAAGACACTTTTTGTAGTAGAAATAACGCTTCGATTTTAACGTTCAGTCTCATTCCTGATAGGAAATATATTTTAATTGGAACTAAAGTGATAAAAAGTAAAAATTCTTAGAACTTTTCACTAAAATTATGAAAAACAGACATTTTTACGCGTAACTAGTTTTCGATGAAATTAATTTTTTAATTCAAAAATCAATAACCATAGATGCCTAAATTTTTTACCAAATATGTGTATTAGAATTTTTTATACCTACACAAAATATTTTTCAAAACATTTTGACTCTTTTCGAGCTGTTATAATAAACATGTAGAATTTTATATCTTTCACTAGATCAAAAAACTTGAGAATTTAATGCAATGTTTCTCATAAGTTGATACTATTAATATTTAAAAATATAAAAGATACGTGACAAATATTTTAAGTTTAAATTTTGACAAAATTTGTTAAAATTATTAATATTTAAAAATTATATCGAAGTTAAATATACATAATATAAAATGTTCAATTTTGATTGCAAATAATTTAAAGTGTAATGAAATGTCCCTCAAAAGTCGTCATGACAGAACTAAACTGGTACTATACATTTATAAAAATCAAATTTGAACGAAATTATAGATATTTAAACAAATAATTACGATTTTAGTCATTTTAGTATATAATTCAAAAATATGTTTCATCTGAATATTTGAAACTTTTATATATATTAGCATATRTTTTATATATTACTCAAGATTCCAGAAAGATTTTCAAAACATTAGGATTAATTTGATGCTATTGCAAATTGCTTATTTATACTACGGACCTATTCATCACTCCGTTTTACCATGTTAAGTCAGAAATGACTAAAAAGTTAAAAATTATAAACGATATAAATATATATTATGTATATATACAGGGTGATTCTTTTATCAAACAACACTTATATGGTGTTTGTGTGTAAATACCACCTAACATACACCTATAACACACAATCACCACCCAACTTTGGGAGTCTATATCTTTTAAACGGATTAACGAAAATGAAAATTTAAACGTGAAAATTCATTGAAAAAATAGCCTTTTTAGTTTATGAAATTTTAAGTATAGGTTGTCATTTAAAAATCAAAAGTTGATAATGGTTTACCTGATAAATATAAGGGTGAAATATTTTAAAAATATATAGTTCTAGAATAAGACGAATCTATACAATTTTGAAAAAAAAAAATTTGAAAAAAGTCAATAGTTTTTGAAATAATGAGTGTTGTTTGATAAAAGAATCACCCTGTATATATAATGGTATATATATTTATATACATTATATATACCATTGTCAATTATTATAATAATTAAATATTTATAATATAATAAATGAAATGTTTTCGGCAAAAAAATTAAAACTTTCAACCAACTGTATCACAAATATTTTTGAAAGATTATTGTAATTACTTATAAGGAACCTTGTATTAAATGTCAAAGTTTTTTGATTTAGTCAACAAAATTTTATCGACTATAATTTTAAAAAAAAATGGCTCCAAATGATTTGAAATATTAAAAAAAAATTATATCGTCTATAGAAAATGACAATATAAACATTTAGTGAAAGTAGGTAATCAACAAACACTAAATAAATAAGTTAAGAAAAATATAATAAACTTAAAGTTGAAAAATATGTGTAAATAATGCGAATATGATAAACTGTAACAAATAATGGGACATTTATTTTATACATTATTTTATTCTAGCAATGTCGGATATAAAACAAAAACATTCACAATTTGGCAAACAAAAGAACACGAACATACCTAGTTTAAATTATAACAGAATGTAATCTGATGGTATGGTATATACAAATAAAAGTTACATTTACTTTATTTTTTATCTCAAATATGTTTAATAACATTATTAAAAGTAGTAAATCAGAAAATTCAAGCATTAAGAAAACGCTACACCCACCTACATTGTCTTACAAATGTACAACATAACTTAAAGTTAAAATTCTGAAACTAACTCGACCTCTAAATCGATACGACTCTGTGCACAAAATTAGTTTTTGTAAATGATACATATATCAGTTGTATCAATTGTATGATACTTTATTATTACTCTTAAATTTATAATTCTATATCATCTATGTACTTCCCTAAGCCCAGAAAAAATATGCGAATAGCAATATTTAAATATTTTTTAGAATTTATAACTTATAATATTTAAGATTAATTTAGAGATTATTTAAAAAAATTTAATATAAACCATAACAGTAGTATGTTTACGTAAAAAAGAAAAATTAAATTAATTAACTAGGTATTAAAATATTTCAAAATTAAAATTGTCTTAATTTAATTATTCAATGTACTGCATGCTACACGCGTGTAATGTGCTCATAAAATTAATATATTTAACTTAAACTGTATAGTATATAATATAGAATGTCAAATGGCACAATAAAAAATAAACTTAAATTGAAATATAGTTAAAATTTGAGTTTTAGTATGCTATTTTTAGTTTAGTGTTTATTATAATACTATATTCGGTAAAAATTGACCATAATTTATTATTTATCAAATAAAATCCATTAAAATTTTTATACATTATTCAAAACAATTAATATTTAACAAGTTATGTGATTGTATAATATTAAATAAGTATCCATATTATTAAAACTTTTTAAATGTTGATTTTGATATTGATCGTAACCTAAATAAAAATTTAAAAAAAACAATGAATATAATTTGTATTTTTATGAAGAATAACATTATGTTATAAATTATAATACATAATATCTTTGTAATAAATTGTATAAACAACAAATCTTAGTGAAAACGTCGAACATTTTTATTTTTATTTTTTATTTTAGAACTTTTAACCTAACTATTATAGTTCAACTATTGTCTATTACAGTATACAAATAACAGATACTAGTGATCTTRTAGCCATTGGGCCAATAAAAGATGTCCCGACATAGTATATAAATATATAATATATATCATAAACATTGAGCACTATTTGTTAATTAATTATCACGATTGCGCATTAATTGTTATTGAATAATAAATATTATATTATATTATATTTCTACCTATCAGATTTCAAGTATACAATTTTGAAAATTATGTCTAGAAATTATAATGAAGAGAAATGAATGGGACCAGACTTACAGTAACCACTCTTAGAATATTAAACTATGTTGACAATTTCCATAAACGCGTTCGCAAAATAATTTATTTATAACGTTTTATAACTATATTTGTAACCTAACCTAACGTTTATATT